TCAGAAAAAGAGTTCTTAATACCGTATTTGTAACTCTTCCATAAGATTGTTTCAAAATAAACAAAGTGAGCAAAAAACAAAAAAGAAACCAATGCAGAATAACAAATAAAACAGCACAATACCATGTCCTCAGCATAACGAGAAGACAGATAATGCCTGGACTTCAAAACAATTTCAAGCAAAATGGAAAAGGAAAACCCCACCAATTTTCACTGAGCAATCTGTCTCTTTATATTTTTTATATTTGAATCCATTGACTATTTTACGAGAATAAATTTAAGTTCAGTAAATAAAAGCAAAGGAATTCATACACATGACAGCATGCTATAATATACTTCTACGTTTTGCTCATTTCCATTTAGCAATAGATACTGGAGATCTTTCTATTTCACCACACAGACATCTACAAAGAAACAAACACCTGTCCACGATTCCATCACGTGGATGTATCATATGGATGCTACAAGGACAGTCTGAGAAAAACTGTGTGAAAAACTGCTACTGGCAGGCCTAAAATTGTGCAAAAACTACCACCAGAAAGAGAATGGTATGAAAATGATAAAAAAAGCATTCAGACAGATCAGGTACCAACTGCGGTCTTGAAAGGTGACTCTCTGGTGAGAGAAAAGAATTAAAAGTAAGGGATAGGCACCTTTTGGACACTACGGTGAAAAATTGAAAGGGTGAAAAAGGGAAAAGAAAGAAAGAAGGGGAAATTAGGATTTTGCAAGAAAAAAAACAAAGCCAGTGACATAAACCTCTCCCTTTATCAATATTCTGCCCTCTGCAAAATAGCCATCTAGGGCTGGCAGAGTGGCTTGTTGGTTAAGAGTTGGCTTGGGAGCATGAGCTCCGAGCAGCCGGGCGGCTGGTTTGGATTCCACATGGGCCAGTGACCCTGCGTCCTCTACAGCTAAGATGATGAACAACAGCTCTACTTGGAGCTGGGCTGCTGTGAGTCGCCGGCAACGGCATAGGCTGCAGCGGGGCTGCAGTGGGCTGCTGTGAGCTACCATGAGTGGCAGGCAGCCAGCATAAGCAGTGGCAGCCTGTGTGAGCTGCCAAGAGTTGCGGTGAGCGGCTGTCCAATGGCAGGCGACCGATCTACCTCAGTGGGGAAGAGCGCAATGATCGCAATACCAACTTGGCCAGTGAAGCAACATCCTCCATAACTAGACTGAAGAATAAAAGGTCAGCAACTTGTCTGTTCCCCTTCCCCGATTCCTCAACGCTGTTCCCTCCCCCAATTCCTTAATAAAAACCTTTAAAAACAAAACAAAACAAAAAATAGCCATCTAATAAAAACATGTGCTTCACCACAATGACAGCAGAGGGCACACTTGCATGAAAAATCTTTGCAACAGCTATGAAGAGTGTTAAACATTTAGGAATACATTTAAGGAAAAGTGCAAATCACCCCAAAGCACCAGCTCTGTTATTGAAATACACAGGTGCAAACAGTATTTATCAAATTCTGCCACCACAATAAACCAGAAAACGAGAGTTTAAAAATTGACTTGAGGGACCGGCCGAGTGGCGCGAAGGTTAAGAACTGGCTTGGGATGCCAGAGGGNATATTAATGTCCCGATCTTGACTGGATTGTAGGAAGATGTCCTTGTTTGCAGGAAATACGATCAGTATGTGGGTGATGGACATCAGGTCTGCAACATAGTTGCAAATGGTTCAGGTGATATCTCATTGTGGTGGGTTTTATTTGCACTTTTCTGATGATTAGTGATGTTGAGCATTTTTTCATATGTCCATTGGCAATCTGTATGTCCTCTTTGGAGAAATGTCTATTCAGGATGCAGATTGGTGCAGCCACTATGGAAGGCAGTGTGGAGATTTCTCAAAAAATTAAAAATAGAATTACCATATGATCCAGCAATCCCTCTCTTGGGTCTCTCTCCCCAAAATCTGAAAACATTTATCTGTAAAGATATATGTACTCCGATGTTCATTGCAGCTTTATTTATGGTGGCCAAGACATGGAAACAACCAAAGTATCATTCGATAGATGATTAGATAAAGAAGATATGGTATATATACACAATGGAATACTATTCTGCCATAAGAAAAGATGAAATAGTGTCATTTGCAACAACATGGATGGATCTTGAGATTATAATTCTAAGTGAAATAAGTCAGGCAGAAGAAGTAGAGAACCATATGATTTTACTGGTATGTGGTTGGTATATAAAACTGAAAACAACAAAAGAACAAGAAAAACAAATGAAGAAACAAAACTCATAGACACAGACAGTAAGTAGTTTAATGGTTACTAGAGGGTAAGGAGGGTAAGGGTGGTAGATGAGGGTAAAGGGGATCAAATTCATATGGTGATAGAAAGAGAACTGACTCTGGCTGGTGAACACACAATGTGATATATAGATGATGTATGACAGAATTGTACACCTGAAATCGATGTAATTTTGCTAACAATTGTCACTCCAATAAACTTTAATAAAAATAAATAAATGAGGACAAAGCAAATGGTTCAGAAAAAGAGTTCTTAATACCGTATTTGTAACTCTTCCATAAGATTGTTTCAAAATAAACAAAGTGAGCAAAAAACAAAAAAGAAACCAATGCAGAATAACAAATAAAACAGCACAATACCATGTCCTCAGCATAACGAGAAGACAGATAATGCCTGGACTTCAAAACAATTTCAAGCAAAATGGAAAAGGAAAACCCCACCAATTTTCACTGAGCAATCTGTCTCTTTATATTTTTTATATTTGAAT